TTAGAATTTAGAAACATTTTACTAATAGATATATGACTGTCAGCCTTGGGAATAAATATTCTAGAACATTTTGATTTACAACTGAAGTATTCAAGAAGATTCATCTCTTTTGTTCCTTCACGATTGACTCTACCTTACTGATCGTCACGAACCAGCTCTACACCCAACCACAATAAGCATTGTCTGAGATTTGAGGAGTTCTTACAATTTTGAAAAAATTAGAGGATTTTGTATACGACGTCTTACTAAACTCGCATAGAATGAAAGAGAAACAGAAAATCTTATCATCAGCAAACTCCATCCTGCCAGCTTAAAATTTGCCCAAAATGTGTCGCGTTGGAAGCGTCACGTCATTATAACTCCTTTGTACTTGAGAAAACGACAAGGAAAATTGCTAGTTCAGAATCAGCAATACTATAGTTAAAAATTTGTCTTTGCAATTCTGCTCACGTCACTGATGGCATCTGAGAAGGAGTTATTGACAACTCAGTCGACGTCGAGTCATTGCTCTTACAGATTATGGGAAATAAAGATATGTTGCAAAGAATACATGTGTAACTGAGATGGGGACCAATATTTATGCTAAGCGTGAGGTCCAACAAAAGAGCATTTTTAATAAGAGCAGCATCATTTCTCTGACAGTGGCAGCAATCACTGGCAAGCAGAGGCAACATATTTTGGATACCACCATTTTCGAGAAGTGTCGTTTTCCCAACCTATTTTATTATGTTGCTGGATAGGTTTGTGTCGTTTTTTACCAAACTCAAAAACTAAGAAACCGAAGCTTTAGCAGTACATTATATTATCTTTCGAAAGAGGAAGTAGATTCCGAATCGTTGGATGTCAAAGTTAAGAGAAACGGAAAAAGCTCAATCGACCTATTTTTTGGAATGCAAGAAGCTCAGCATTTGCTATAATGCTCTTTGTAGGATGATTGCATATGCTTGTCATGAAAATCGAATCCATCTAAATGAAAGGCAGAGTTAGCGCTGAGTAGTTACTGCTCTGCGTTTCCAGGATCTTATTTCGGTGAGATCACGGGTTAGATTCCTCACTGGGACATAATCCTTGCCTGCGATTCCAGCGTCAGACTTACTTTCAGGATGTACGACAAGCCGGCTGAAAACCACCTCGTCGCATCAATATGAGTTAATGTCCAATGAAGTACATCGAGTAAAAGCTAGGGCATCCCCCGGAAGCGACGCGCCCGAGCCCTGCGTAGCTAGGGCCACCGTCTTACAAAGAGCGAAGACGAGTAAGCTGGCTTTTCGAAGGCAGATATCCGGAAACACAGAAACACACCGATAGCTACCATCAATGTAGGAACCCTCACTGGACGACATCGAGAATTGGCGGATCTCCCGAGAAGACAGCGAGTGGATATAACAGCAAACAAAATGGAAGGATAGAAAATCACGCGATATCAGAGATGGCTATAAGCTTCTCTACAATAGCACAAGCAGCAGTGGCATTGGAGTAGGTATAGCTGTCTCAGAAAGCCTAAGGAGCAGGACTGCCACAGTTGACCGATTAGGTGATCGACTTGAGCATAAAGATTACTGGTAGAAATTCTTCGAATTGCCACCGCCCACACCTATGGCTACAGAAGTATATCCAATGGATAAAACGATCTATCATGGAGCCACGAGCCATGTACAAACCGCGGCAGGACAGTCTAAACCATTCCGCATAAAGGCCGACGTGCATCAGGGATCGGTGCTCTCTCCTCTACTCTTCATCACAGTTATGGATGCAGTGACGGAAGGTCT